CGTCTCCACTTGGGTCGGTCAAGGGCGTCGGTCAGATCGGCTTCGATCTTCTTCACGTCGTCCTTGATTCGGTCCATCCATCTCCGCTTTGGTCTGCCTCTAGGTCGACGTCCTTGGGGGCTGAGCCGCAGTGCTGTTCTCACCACTGAGTTCTCATCGCTCCGTACCACATGTCCGTACCACCGCAGCCTCGCTTCTTGCATCTTATCAGTGATTGGCGCGATTCCCATCCTCTTTCTAACGTCGGTGTTCATGATGTGGTCCCATCGTGTCAGGCCTAGGCACCATCGCAGCATCCGCATTTCCATCGTGTGAAGGGCTTGTTCGTGCTTTGCGGTGGCTGGCCAGCACTCGGATCCATAGAGGGCGACGGGGCGCACTACACTCTTGTAGATCTTTGACTTGAGGCGATTGGGCATTCTTCGGTCACACAGGACGCCGGTGACTTGGCGCCATTTCATCCACGCTGCGTTGATCCTGGCTCGTACATCTAGTAGGATATCGCCGTCATTGCTGATCATCGATCCGAGGTATTTGAAATGAGGTACTTTCGCCAGATTTTCTCCATCGACGCTGATCGTGCCGTCGGTCTGGGGGCCAGCCTCTAAGTATTCGGTCTTGTTGGTGTTGAGCCTCAGGCCGAAGTCAGCTAGGCGAGTCTTCCACTGCTGCGTTTGGTATTGCAGTTCTATTCGCGATTCATCGGCCAGGAAGACATCGTCGGCGTAGAGAAGTGTCCAGGGATGGGGTGACTGGAGATCCGCCGTCGCAGTGTCCATGCAAAGGATGAAGAGCAGCGGGGAGAGTGCCGAGCCTTGGTGGACGCCCACATTGATGTTAAAGGGCGGCGATGTTCCCACTGGGCTTCTGACCACGCTGGTGACTTGTCGGTAGAGGAGCTTTGTCCAGTTGACGTAGGCTTCAGGAACTCCATGTGATCGCAGGGAGTGCCAGATGAGGTCGTGTGGGACACGGTCAAACGCCTTTTCCAAGTCAAGGAAGGCCATGTGGATGGTCTTGACTTGTCGGTAGAGGAGCTTTGTCCAGTTGACGTAGGCTTCAGGAACTCCATGTGATCGCAGGGAGTGCCAGATGAGGTCGTGTGGGACACGGTCAAACGCCTTTTCCAAGTCAAGGAAGGCCATGTGGATGGTCTTGGACTTCTCTCGGTGCTTCTCCAAAAGCAGGCGGGCAGCATGGATGGCGTCCGTCGTGCCACGCCCCCTGACGAAGCCACATTGGTTGGGCGTTAAGTTGACAATTTCTCGCATCCTGGCGTCGATGATCCGTTCGAAAACCTTCATGGTATGGCTTAGGAGTCGGATCGGGCGGTAGTTGGAGCATTCAGCCACATCGCCTTTCCCTTTCCAGATGGGCACCGTTATGCTGGTTGACCAGGCTGCTGGGACGGTCCCGTCTCTGATGATGCTATTGAACAGGCTGGCGAGGACTAAGGCGCCTTGGCGCCCGAGCAGCTTCCAGACTTCGGCTGGTATGTCGTCTGGTCCGGTCGCTTTGCCATTCTTCATATTTTTAACGGCTGTTTCCACTTCCTTGATGGTGATTGGCGGGACAGGTCCTGGGACGGGCGGGGCACTGTGGATTGGCTGGTGAGGGAACTCCACGTTGCAGATATCGGAGAAATACTCGCTCCAGCGATTGAGGATGGCGGGCGGGTCGCGGAGGGTTTGATGGTTGGCATCCTTGATGTGTTTGACCTGGCCAATATCCTGTGTTGCTCGATGGCGGCTGCTGGCAAGGCGGTAGATTTTGTTCGCTCCTCCGGGCGTGTCCAACTCTTCATACAGTTGGTCATAGTGCGATGCCTTTGCCGCTGCTACCGCCTTCTTTGCGGCCGATCGTAGGGCCCTGTATTGCTGGTAGTCGCCATCGCTGCGGGATTGAAGCCACACTTTGAGTGCCGACTTCTTTTCCTTGATGGTTATCTGTATAAACTGTCATATAAAGTAACTTACGGCGTTCCAGCCTGATAATTCGGAGTAGATGGCATTTGATTACATCTCCATACTGCCTTTAGCATGAGGAGCCTGTTTCTCAGCAAAACCGAGTGCTTGACCAAAACCGGAAGTGCTTGACCGGAACCGGAAGTGCCCCGCCAGAACAGGAAATACATTTTAGTGATATTTTCCTTTTAACTTAAACGTATGTGTAGAATACACCAGGCACAGACACACGCACACACAGGTAGGTACAGCCAACTTCCACATTTATTCAAGTGTTGTTGTTTTGACAGCTGACTCAGTCACACAGTCTGACAGCTCACGAGCCCAGCTGATCTCTCTTCTGGCCGCTCCTCCTCGTCTCACTATAAACACAGCGGAGGGAGACCATCATCAGTCCATAAACAACATCAGCTGTTCTTACCGGCCTCGCAGCGCCGCCCTGTTGAGCCTTCCGCTCCACTCCTCCCCTGCAGCTGCGCCCGGGGCCACGCCTCCGCCACAGTATGTAACGCATGAATTATTCATTTAACAACACATATTAATTTTTTAATGGCAAATCTTTTTATAATTATTTATTTCAAACTTATGAACCTATTTATTCAGAGAAATGCCTTAAGGGCAACACACTCCCCGCCTGGCCTCGGGAGGCCACTATGCTAAACAAACATTATGCATTCAGTCCTTTGGCATGAGGAGGATAACTTCTGTAACTGGTCGCATAAATGTCTTTATGCACCCTTGATTGCATGTCTTTACCTCAATTTTCCTTACTCGATCGTCCTTGCTTGGGAATGTGGCAGTGACCCTGGCCATGGGCCAGCTGTTTCGTGCAACCTGCTTGTCCTTGAGCAGAACCAGGTCACCAACTTGGAGGTTTCTGCGCGACCCGGTCCATTTCTGCCTTTGCTGCAATGTGGGTAGATACTCTCGCCTCCAGCGTGTCCAGAACTGGTTGGAAAGGGCTTGGACCCGTCTCCATTGTTTGTTGTAGAGGTCTTTATCCGAAAAGTCTCCAGGTGGGGATAGGAGGCAAGATTTCTGCGTAAGGAGCATTGAAGGGGATAGGACGAAAGGGTTCTCTGGATCAGAGGACACTGGGACGAGCGGCCTTGCATTTATTATGGCTGTAACCTCAGCCATGAGTGTGCATAACACGTCGTGAGTCAGTTGAACCTTATTTTGTAGTAGCATGGAGTCCAGGATTCTGCGGGCGACTCCGATCATGCGCTCCCAAGAGCCTCCCATGTGGGATGCATGTGGTGGATTAAACTCCCAACTGCAGCCTTGGATAGTTAGGTACTGTTGGAGTGATTTATCCATTCCAAGTTCCTTTGAAGTGCTAATAAAATTGTGCCACGGTCAGATAGCAGCTGTTTGGCGGGGCCTCTCAGAGCGAAGAAGCGGCGGAGGGCGTTTATGCAGCTGGATGTGTCCAGAGATTCGATTACCTCAATATGCACAGCTCTCGAACTCATGCAGGTAAACATGAGTGACCTAAAGAAAACAAAGAAAAGCATGAATAAGATAGGAAATAAATATGAAAAATTAAAAAGGGTAAATTTAACTAGGAAGGAATAAAATATAAATTAAGGAAAAATGAAATAACTGTACAACACAAATTAGAATGAAGGGTAAATTTAACTGGGAAGAATAAGATAAAATATATAAATTAAAGTTGAAAATAAAATAACTGTACAACAAAATACACAATATAGAACTATATAAGAATGTATAAAATTAAATATAAATAAATATATACACAATAACAGCAGCTGTACAAGTATTAACCGGAAATGAAGAATATAGTGACCAGTGTTGTGCAAAAACAATGTCCAGAAAGTCCAGTGTGTGTGTAAGAACCATATGTGTGGGTCAGTACTGTGTGGTGGTGTGATTGAGAGACCGTATCGCCTGCGGGAAGAAGCTCCTCCTCAGTCTCTCTGTGTTGGTCTTCAGGGAGCGGAATCGCTTTCCTGACCTCAACAGAGAGAACAGTCTGTTGTTGGGATGGCTGAGGTCCTTCACGATCTTCCTGGCCTTGGTCCAGCACCGCCTGCTGTAGATTGAGTGCAGGTCAGGGAGCTCGGAGCGGATGGTGCGCTCAGCTGACCGCACAACCCTCTGTAGAGCTCGTCTGTCCTGCATGGTGCTGTTCCCGAACCAGGTTAAGATGTTTCCCGTCAGGATGCTCTCTATGGTGCACGAGTAAAAGTTCCTGAGCACCTTGGAGGGCAGTTGGAAGTCTCTCAAGCGTCTGAGGTGGTAGAGACGCTGTCGGGCCTTTTTCACCACGGTGTTGATGTGACAGGACCATGACAGGTCCTGCGTGATGTGAACTCCGAGGTATTTGAAGCTGTCCACTCTCTCCACTGGGCACTCGTTGATGACGGGGGTCTGGTAGTTCCTCTCCTGCTTAGTGCTGAAGTCCACTATCAGCTCCTTTGTCTTACTGACGTTTAGAAGGAGGTTGTTCCTCTGGCACCAGTTCTCCAGATTCCTAATCTCCTTCAGGTAGGCCGTCTCGTTGTTATTTGTGCCAGCCTTTGCATTTTTTGTTTGGATTAGTCCCATTGAAGGACTTTGCAATGTGGATAAGATTTGCTATGGCTCTGACTAAAGACTGAAAAGTAGAAAAGTGCTCAAAACGCTTACAGATGAGTACTTGGAGGTGAGTGACGTAAGTTTTTACTTCTGGTCTAATTTCTGAGTCCTTATCTGGTTCAATCAGGTCAAACCTTCCACTCAGTTGTGTTGTCTCTGCGGCAGGACGGTGGATGAAGGGTGGTCCGGTGAACCAGGTGGACTTTTTTAGTTGGAATGCCGACAGTGACCTAGACGCATGGTCTGCTGGATTTTCCTCTGTGCGCACATAATGCCACTGTTCTGGCTTTGATGACTGGCGAATGCGCTGTACTCTGTTGTGAACGTATGTGTAAAACCTTTTTGACTCATTACAGATGTAGCCAAGCACTACCTTACTGTCCGTATAGAAGTGCACTGCATCAAAGTCTAAGTCCAACTCATCTTGAATGAGGTCAGCCATTTCTGCTGCCAAGACGGCTGCACATAGTTCAAGTCTTGGTATTGTAGGTTCTGACAGGGGGGCTAGTTTTGCTTTGCCCATTATGAACCCAACCTCGACCTTCCCATCTGTTTGAACTGCCTTTAAGTAGGCTACAGCTCCTATGGCCTTAGTAGATGCATCTGAGAATAAACACAGTTCCTTTCGCTTTGCTCGACTTAGTGAGGTGGATGTGTAGGTTCTGGGAACATGTAGTTCTCTTAGATCCTGAAGGGAATTTCTCCACGTTTCCCATCTGCTTTGTTTGTCCTCTGGAAGGGGTACGTCCCAATCTGAACATTCTGAAGTAAGCTCTCTGAGTAGGGCCCTTCCTTGGATTGTAACGGGTGCCAATAGGCCCAGGGGATCGAAGACGCTATTGACAGAGGACAATACGCCACGGCGAGTGAATGGCTTGCTTGAGGTGGCCACTGAGTAAGTGAATGTGTCTCTTGTTATTTCCCAAATGAGTCCAAGGCTTCGCTGGGATTGTGTCTCTTCACCACTTAAATCTAAGTTTTTAATGACAGGAGCACAATCTTCTGGGCAGAAGGCCTGCATAACTGCCTGAGAGTTGGAAACGAACTTATGCAGGCGCAGGTTGGATTCAGCGAGTGAGGCTTGTGTTCTTTGAAGCAAGTCTATAGCCTCAGCAGGAGAGGGGACAGAGATCAAGCCGTCATCTACGTAAAAGTGCCTCTCCACGAACTTTACTGTATCTGCACCATAGTCTTTCGAACCTGCTCTGATGGCCTTGCGTAGTCCATAAATGGCAACAGCGGGGGATGTTGAGTTGCCAAACACGTGGACTTTCATCCGGTACTCGACAACTTCGTTGTTTGGGTCGTTGTCCCTATGCCACAGAAAACGGAGGAAGTTGCGGTGGTCTTCGCGTACCATAAAACAGTGAAACATTTGCTGTATATCTGCCATGATTGCAACACTTTCTGTCCGGAAGCGGAGAAGAACTCCGACAAGTGTGTTGTTTAAATCAGGGCCAGTAAGGAGGACATCTGTTAAGTGAGACACCCAAGTACTGGGCGCTAGAATCGAAGACAACCCTGATCTGATTGGGTTTTTGTGGGGTGGTAGACTCCAAATGTTGGAAGATACCAACACTCTTCTCCCTTTTCCAGTGGGGGGGCCACCTCAGCGTGACCATTGGAGAGGATTTTTTCCATGAAGGCCACATAATGCTCCCGCATTTCAGGTTTCCTATTAAGGGTGCGTTTTAAGGAGGAGACTCGGGCGTCTCTTTTTGTAATTCTGCGGTCTGTGGCGACCAACTGTGCCACCTGCTGTCTGTTGTTTGGTAATTGCTGGCGGGGTTCCTTAAATGGAAGTGGGGCGACCCAACTGTTGTCCACGTCTCTGTACATAGCATTGTCCATCATTTTTAGAAAGAGAGTGTCTCTGTATTGAGTGAGCTGGTTTGTTGTCGTTATCTGTCCGGTTAAAAACCTTTGACCCAGAGTTTGTTCGGGCGCTTTACCTGGCCTGTTTGTGTGTGGCATTTCTTTGAGTTGCAGAAGGCTATTGCATGGTTTGAAAACTGTAGGGCGGCCATTTTCCAGAACGACTGTCTTCAGGGTGCTGACTGTAGGCCTATGAACATTACCCAGACAGACCTCCCCAACTACAACCCACCCTAGGTCTAGGCGCTGGGCGAAGGGGGCATTATGGGGGCCGTTAATTCTCTGCCTGACCTTGTGTGCCTGTAAAATGTCTCTCCCTAGTAGCAGGAGTATTTCGGCTTTAGGGTCTAGCTCTGGGATGTACTTTGCTATGGTACGGAGGTGCGGCTGGTGTAGCACTGCGCTGGGAGTTGGGATTTCATTCCCATTGTGATAAAATAATTTGTTACAGCTAAAAACAAGTTACTGTAACTGTGGCAACTTGGAAAAGCTAAGAGAAATATTTGTTATTAATACATTGGTAATCAGAGTACACTCTTAAGTATTTGGTTATACATGATGTATAATATTTGTTAAGATCCATTTTGGAGGAAAAGAACTTAATGGGCTCATGTTAAGAACCCAGTATAGAATAGAAATTCATTGTCCTGCACTGTTTGTGTAGACTGTTTTTTCAACTGCTACAAAGGATCCTGGAGGAACCAGTGACGGCAAGCCCAGGCCAAATAAGAACCTGAATGATGGTGAAATTGTGCGGCCAGCCATGAGAACGGAATATGGGAATTGCCTGAAGAACTGATTCAAGTCCTACCTTGGATTTCAGATAAGTCCTGAAACTATAGTTGATAGTTATTGGTGTCATTTTTTTTGAAACATACTGATCATCAACAACTGGGAGCTTCTTCAAATGAAAGTGAAACCAAGTCCAACATGTAGGCTTCTTTTTTAGTAGCGACCCGGGGGGGTGAATCCTCTTTTTATAAATAAACAAGTATGGATTATTCTTTGGATGGACACAAACAGCTAGAGACTCTTTGAAGTCCACTGCCTGGGCAGATCATCGGTGCATTGTAATGTAAATGTAAAAAGACGTTCTCACTCACTGTCCATTGATCAAATTTACGTGGCTGGGACTCTGATGGCCTCACGAACACAGGAAGTATAAAACCTAAATGAGCACACCGTGCAGAGTGCAGCCCACAGGTTGGTGGTGGGGATTTTCACCATGATTTTTACACATTTGGTGAAAATCAGACTTGGTATATCAATGCAAACGCTCATACTCATAAACCAGCTGTCAGCACAGCCATCTGTCCCACAGCCAAAGCTTGGATCAAACTGGGTCATCAGCACCACAGAGATCCTAAAAATGAAATATGTGTGTTCTGAATATGAGCAGGGAGAGCTGACGATCCTGTTCAAAACACCTATCTGTTTTTTTCTCCTTTGGCAGTAAGTTTGTTCATGTCAGGCTGAGAGCTGATTGTAAAGTCTACAATATCAGTCACGGTATCAAGGACGCAGTGTTTTTTAAAAGTGCGTACCCGGTATAACAACTAGCTGTACCTTTTTTAATACCTTTAAAACAGATGCTTACAGAATTATGTCCAATTGTTTCTACGGAAATATCAGAAATGGATTAAGAAGCATAAAGCTGTGAGTTTCTATGTGGATTTTTCCTTTTCTGTTGAGGTAATTGTGGTACAGCTGCAGTGTACAATGGATCAGAGAGAGGAGATGCAGAAAGATTAAAATGAGGCAGCCAAAGAAAACAGCAACAGGAGGGATCAGTTTGGATATGAACAAATAGAAACACGAGGAAGCAGACTGAGAAGAGATCAAGGGACCACTTGTTAAATTACTTTCTT